GTGCCTGTAGTCCCAGCTACTCGGGAGGGTGAGGCAAGAAAATCACTTTGAACCGGGAGGCAGAGGTTGCAATGAGCTGAGATGGCACCACTGCACTCCAGCCTGGATGACAGAGCGAGATTCCATCTCAATTAAAAAAAAAGTCATTAGTTAGGGCAGGCATGGGGGCATGGTATCTCACGTCTATAATCCCAGCATTTTGGGAGCTAAGGTGGATCACTTGAGGCCCTTGAGGCCAGGAGTTCGAGGCCAGCCTGGCCAACATTAATGAAATCCCATCTCTACTAAAAATACAAAAATTAGCCTGGTGTAGTGCACCTGTAATCCCTGCTACTCCACACCTCGTAATCCCTGCTACTGGGAGGCTGAGGCAGAAGAGTCACTTGAACCTGGGAGGCAGAGGTTGCAGTGAGCCAAGATTAGGCCATTGCACTCCAGCCTGGGTGACAAGAGTGAAACTATGTCTCACAGAGCGAGACTCCGTTTCAAAAAAAAAAAAAAAAAAGAAAGAAAAGAAAAGAAAAAAAAAAGAAAAACATGTGGATACACATATGGCTTTACATTCTATTTCAGAGGACTTGTGGGATACCCACCCAAGCTCATTTGTGGATCCCGGGTTAAGAATTTCTATTAAATTTACTTAGTGAGTTTACATGGTTTTAAACTATTAAACCACTTTTAATTTCAAAGGGTAATAATTAGGTTGTAATTTTCTCACATTTTTTATTTATTATTTTTTTTTTGAGATGGAGTTTCACTCATTGCCCGAGCTGGAGTGGAATGGCGCAACCTCGGCTCACTGTAAGCTCCACCTCCCGGGTTCAAGCAATTCTCCTGCCTCAGCCTCCCCAGCAGCTGGGATTATAGGCATGCACCACCACGCCCAGCTAATTTTGTATTTTTTAAGAGACAAAATTTCTCCATGTTGTTCAGGCTGGTCTTGAACTGCCGACCTCAGGTGATCCGCCCTCCTCAGCCTCCCAAAGTGCTGGGATTACAGGCACGAGCCACTGTGTCCGGCTGGAAAAAATGCTATTTTATTAAAGAATACAAACATGTCGCCAAATTTGTTTAAACTGATTTTTATTTATTTATGTTTTTTTAAGAATCAAATGATTACTTAATAGAATTAGTCTCCAAATTTCATCAAGTAAAAATTCTAGAAAACATTTCTCAGCTTTCCTCATTATAGCATGATGCTAACTAAACAATTTAAAGATCAGCATCATAAAAAGAGCAGTAACAATTGCCTGCTAAGCAATAAATTACTCTGCTCTCAATCCTAGATACTTTCAGACATGAATTTTCCTTTAGATTAAAAATACTTGTGTATAGATGCTGCCTGAAAAAAATATGATAAGGTTAGCAAGAAATGATGGGCAAGGTTAAAGTGAAGGATCAGAAGAGACTGTGGAAAATTTGTACTGACTCATCCATCACAAGTAAAAATAACCCCTGGATCACAAAATTATTGAAACATACTGCTAAATTGCCTAAAGCTGCCTGAATTAGTCCATGTACCTGTTCATTATAAAACCTTAACATACCTTAGGGTAGTGTATATATTTTAAAAAACAAAGATATCCAAATCCATCAAGAAATGGCTCTATAGTCCCTTAATGAATTTCTTCATAGTATAAGCTTTTATTAAAAAGCTTTTATTAAAAACCTTATACTAAAAATAAAATATTTTTTATTAAAAAATATTTAATTAAGCCTGGGCATGGTGGCTCACACCTATAATCCCAGCATTTTGGGAGGCTAAGGCAGGTAGATCATGAGGTCAGGAGACTGAGGCCATCCTGGCCAACATGGTGAAACCCCATTTCTACTAAAATACAAAAAATTAGCCAGGCATGGTGGCACGTGCCTGTAGTGTCAGCTACTCTGGAAGCTAGGGCAGGGGAACCACTTGAACCCGGGAGGCAGAGGTTGCAGTGAACCGAGATCGTGCCACTGCACTCCAGCCTGGCGACAGAGCAAGACTCCATCTCAAAAATATATATATATATAAATATATAATACATACATATATTATACATATTATACATATATGTAGTATATATAATATATGTATTATATATGTATAATATATTTTTAATTAAAAACAGAGGTGCCTGATTTGGCTGTGTCAGACATATGAATTAGGATTTCAGTCACTTTTTGTATTTTCTTTTCAACAAATGTTATTAAGAAGAAAATTTCATAAGTTTACTTCTTTCTTTATGCCCACATTCTCTCACAGAGAACTAGAGCTTGGTTACACAAACACAACCACCACCTAAGGATCAAATAAATGTGGCAGAAGACTAACAAAATAAAAATACAGTTAACAAATAAATGTTGGCTGGGCACAGTGGCTCATGCCTATAATCCCAGCACCTTGGGAGGCCGAGGCAGAAGGATGTCTTGAGCCCAGGAGATCGAGACCAGCCTGGGCAACATCGCCAATCCTCATCTTTACAAAAAGTACAAAAATTAGCTGGGCACGGTGGTGAGCACCTGTAGTCCCAGCTACTTGGGCGACTGAGGAGAGAGGATCACTTGAACCCGGGAAGCGGAGGTTGCAGTGAGCCAAGGTGGCGCCATTGCAATCCAGTCTTTGAGATCAGCCCATAGAAAGGCAAACCACTAGGTCCTATCCAATTTGTAGGACTACGTAGTTTGCCTTTCCATGGGCTGATCTAAAGCTCAAATGCTTTAGCTGGGCCTCTACCAGCTTAAGAACTGAGGAAAACAGGTTCCATTTCAAGGGTTCATGGTATCCAAGCAAGAGGAGCATAACTTTTCCTAACACGCGTGTTTTGATTGTTTCTAAACTGCATTTAGCCCAGGCAACATGGTAAAACCCCATCTCTACAAAAAATTTAAAAATTTAGCAGGGCATGGTGGCGTATACTGTATTCCCAGTTACTTGGGAGGAGCGCTTGATCCCAAAAGGTCAAGGCTGCAGTAACCCATGAGATAAAACCACCAGTTATTTCTTTTTTTTTTTTTTTTTTTGAGACAGAGTCTCACTCTGTCACCCAGGCTAGAGTGCAGTGGCGCGATCTCGTCTGCCTCCCAGGTTCAAGGGATTCTCCTGCCTCAGCTTCCAAATAGCTGGGATTACAGGTGCCCCCCACCATGCCTGGCTAATTTTTTTGTATATTTAGTAGAGATAGGGTTTCACCATGTTGGCCAGGCTGGTCTCGAACTCACGCGATTGGCCCACCTTGGCCTCTCAAAGTGCTGGGATTACAGGTATGAGCCACTGCGCCCGGCCAAAACCACCATTTCTTTCTTCCTTTCATTATCTTTCAGATAGGATCTCACTCTGTCACCGAGGCTGGAGTACAATCAAGGCTCACTGCAGCCTCTACCTCCCATGCTCAAGTGACCCTCCCACCTCAGCCTCCCAAGTAGCTGGGACTACAGATGTGCTTCACCAAGCCCGGCTAATTCTTTGATTTTTTTTTGTAGAGACAGGGGTCTTACTATGTTGCCCAGGCTTGTCTTGAACTCCTGGGCTCAAGCAATCCTCCCACCCTGGCCTCCCAAGGTGCTGGGATTACAGGCAGGAGCTACCCTGCCCAGTCAAAACCACCTTTCTATCAACAATGATTAATGTTTTGTAACATGCATTAATAAAATTAACTGATATCAATATATCTGCTCACCCAAAAGACAGAGAATAAACCCTCAAACTAGACATGAACGATAAATCACTTTCTGCTGCTCTACTTCATTTTTAGTTTGGGAAGGAAATACAGTAGCTTTGAAACAAAGAAAAATCTTAACCAAAAACTTAGTGGTAGCAGCAATGTAAGGAGAATTCTGACATATATTTATAAATACTACAGAAACAACATAAGTCCCAAGAAATCAGAGTATTTTAAAAAGATACTTTATGAGACAAAATAAACATTCACCTACAAGACAGACAAGTGGACAATCAAAAATGACTTTAAATTGAAACGAGGGATTTAGGTCACATATTAAAATAACTTCTTAAACGCACGGATTATCAGCCAGGCGTGGTGTCTCACGCCTGTAATCTCAGCACTTTGGGAGGCCAAAGCAGGTGGATCACCTGAGGTCATGGTGAAACCCCGTCTCTACTAAAAATACAAAAATTAGCTGGGCATGGTGGCATGTGCCTGTAATCCCAGCTACTTGGGAGGCTGAGGCAGAAGAATCACTTGAACCCGGGAGGCAGAGGTTGCAGTGAGCCAAGATTGTGCCATTGCACTCCAGCCTGGGCAACAAGAGCAAGACTCCATCTCAAAAAAAAAAAAAAAGCATAGATTATCACCATTAAAATAAGAAGTCTAGCTGGGCGCAGTGGCTCACGCCTCTAATCCCAGCACGTTGGGAGGCAGAGGCGGGCGCATCACTTGAGGTCAGGAGTTTGAGACCAGCCTGGCCAAGATGGTGAAACCCTGTCTCTATTAAAAATACAAAAATTAGCCGGGTGTGGTGGCAGGCTCCTGTAATCCCAGCTACTTGGGAGGCTGAGGCAGGAGAATCACTTGAACCCAGGAGGCAGAGGTTGCAGTGAGCCGAGACTGTGTCACTACACTCCAACCTGAGCAACAGAGCTAGATTCTGTCTCAAAAAAATAAGAAGAAGTCTGTAGATTCTTCTTTGAAAATAGTAATAAAGAGAAAAATATACAATGGCCTTCCGCAGATTTCTGAAATATATATGACCCTGCCTAGACGAAGGACGATTAATATTATCCTCCTGGTCCCTTCAGGCACCAACCAATTAGCAATTAGAGCTTAAAAACAAACCACATGATTGTTCCATTAAATTCTTGGCCAATCAGTGAGGAAGTCCTCAACACAACACAATACAATATATACATTTTATACAATATATACAAAAGCCTGCTCTAAGGCAAAACATTCAATTCTATCAAACTTCACTCAGAACTTCTGTCCACATAAAACTTAAGCAAAACTGTAAAAGACAAAAGGACAGTAGTGAGAATGCATGAACATTACTCATTTGCTTACCTGGTCCTTCTCATGGGGTAGAAGGCTGACAGGTGGGAGCGAGGATGGGAAAGCACTGGGATACTGAGGTGCCCCTTTGCCATCTAAGCTCCCATAATTGACCCTGTACTGCGGTCCATCTTTCAGTAACCTCCCATTATTCACAGCGCGTTTGGCCCCCAGTCGCAGCCGCTGCTGAAAGGCTGGGTTGTTGGTGGTGCTCGTGAGATCACTTTGACTTCTGAGATACTTCTCTATGTTCTTCAGGGAGGAGCCATTTGGCTCCTCAAGTCCTTCAATTGCTCTCCTTAAAAGTTTATTCCAATCCACATTGCGGAGATCGTTACATGATCCTCTAGACCCCTTGGTTGACTTAGGAAAAGTGCCTGGTTTAACTGATGAAAAGCGCCCAGGGTTGTCTGGGTCCTTATAGGAGGCAAGGCCTTTGTTGGTGACTTTGAGAACTGAGCCATCCTGAACACTGAGTTCCAGCTGTTCAGAGACTGTCTTCTTATCCAACCCATGGGAAGTACTGACCGCATGGCAGATTCTCTCTTCAGAGGGCCTTTGCTTTTGCTTTTTTATTTTCTGTATAGCTTCAAGAATCCACTCTGTATAAAGTGGGTTTGCAAGTTTTACCATGGTTGACAAATGACTTCTTCAACACAAAAGTTACCCATAGAGGTTCTCTTTGTATTTAACAGAACTTGCACATTTGAAAGTCATTTACAATTCAACAAATGGACAGAGTATTCCAGACTGTATTAAGCAACATCTTACAAACATCCATCCTTAAGAGCTTCAAAAGCAGACAAACAGGCAATGTTGATGGTTGTCTTATTTTACCAACAGGAAAGACTGCATTCGGGTGAAGAACATCTTTAACTGGGAAATCAAGACCTTAAAGGATAAAAAGAAGGGAAAGACTCTTAATAATGAAGCTCACACAAATAAACTAAAAGATTCTTTAGCATGACTTTTTCAGACACAGAATGACCACAGAAGTAATGACAGGCAGGTATTACATAACACAGCCACAGTGACTATATTTTTCAACAAGAAATTGGGTCACAGTCTGAAAAGAAATTGTTTTTAGAATGTTTCACTTCTCTATATGAAGTCATTTATGAAGTATAATCACATCTAAATTACACATTTAATTATCTTTATTGAAATTAACAAAATTACATGAAAGTGGTTCAAGGTATATGTCTTCCATAAACATAAAATATACATGAAAGAATAAATCTATGATATAAAAAATTTGATGAAAGTACATTAAACTTATTTCAAGAAATCCTGAACTTAAAAAAAAAGAGTAAATAATCCTGCTTTCAACTAGGTATTGTATTTCCCAAGTCTCAGACTAAAAAAACTTCCCTTCTAGCTACTTCTATGGAATCACCTCCCCCATCCCTTTAACAGAGGTCTATGATACCCTCTAACCCACAAGTTGGAAAATTGAAAATAATATACTAACATAACCCTTCACCTTTAAGTAGTAGAGCATTCTAATTATCTTAATACCCAGTTAGCTCATTAAACAGCTCAATACAAAGAAGGTATATACACATCTGATTTCAGGTGGACAGTGGTATTTGTTCTGAGAGATGCCTGGTATATACGAAAACCACCCTAGATCTCCAATCTGGTATTAAGTACATCTACAAAGAGCATACAAGGAGAAAGAGCCTTGGCCTGGGAATTGGGCCAAACCTGAGCTCTAATCTTGGTCTCCAATGATAACACCCACTTCTTAATTCTTTTTATAGTTTAAACTGTACAGAGTGTGCTCATATATAACTTGTCACTTAAACTGCAGAACAACTTTGTGGGTAAACTGAGGCTCGGGAGAAGATGGAATTCACCCAAGGTAAGAGTCAGAACAGATTTAAGGGTCAAACACCATTAATTTTTTTTTTTTTTTTTTTTTGGCCGAGTCTCACTCTGTCACCCAGGCTGGAATGCAGTAGTGCAATCTCAGCTCACTGCAATCTCTGCCTTCTGGGTTCAAGTGATTCTCCTGCCTCAGCCTCCCAAGTGGCTGGGATTACAGGCATGTGCCACCACACCTAGCTAATTTTTGCATTTTTAGTAGAGACGGAGTTTTGCCATTTTGGCCAGGTTGTTCTCAAACTCCTGACCTCAGATGATCTGCCCTCCTCAGCCTCTCAAAAATGCTAGGATTACAGGCGTGAGCCACTGCGCCCAGCCAATTCTAAAATCCAACTAAGTCCGTCACTGTTCTCCCCTGAGCCACAACTGCCTACTCTAGCTAGTTCTGCCTCTGCAAAGAGACCAACATGGGCCTGAACCCCAGCTCTACCACAATGTCCAGTGGAGAAAGCATCCATCACTTCACTTGTAGATAATACTGGTATATCCCTTACAGGATTATTCAGAGGATTAAATGAACACATATGATCTAATATTCAATATATAGTAGTTATCACTTTCATCAAATGCAACGTCTACATACTTTGAAAATTTTCTAATAAAATACAAAATTAAAGTTATCTCTGATTATTTATTTAGACAGAATATACCTAAAAGGAGAAAACAATATCTTTCCTTAAAAACTTTAGCCAGACATACTGAAGAATATAGTATTTGCTCTCAGAGATCCTGGAATGTTGCTGAAAAACAACTGGGTCATCGAACTATACTTGTTCAAACGGTACAGTTTTAAATGCCAACCCAAAATGCCACCTTGAAGGAGGCGGTTTAAACAAGACTGTCCCCTCTGTGATCAGTAAGCTGTAAATTCACTCTACTCATTTTCCCCTCAGATTCAGAAACTTGGGGCTGAAAGGACCTTAGAGGTCATCCAGTCCAACCTCTAGTTATCCAATAAAAGATCCCTGCCCAATATCCCAAATAGATGGGCAATGAGTCTTTACATTTTTAAAATACTTCCAGTGATTGATAATTTGTCACTTTTTGAGGCAGTTCACCCCACTGTTGCACAGCTGTAGCTATATTTCTTGCTCGGAGAAGCAAAAATCTGCCACTCCATAACTTCTACCCACTAGTCCTATTCCCTGGAACGATCCCAAGACAATTATTAGTATTTCTTCAATATGAGAGGCCTTCAGATGTCCGAAAACAAGTACCTTTTGAAAACCACTAACAACAAAACCCCGTGCTACCTCCAGCCATAACTTAGACCACTCATATCCCAGTTCCTTAACCCTTCCACATATCACACGGTTTCAAAGCACCACCTTCTCTTGGTTGCTCACTAGTTTGGCTAATGGCCATCTTAAAATATGGCAGTTCAGGTGTTATCCAATTATAAATGCAACCCAAATTACAGGAACTTCCTCAATACCCCTGCCACACAAGTGGCCATGCTGAGCATGCAGTCCAACTAAAAATCCCAGATCTTTTTTCAAAAAGTGCTGTCAAGTTGAGTCTTTCCACTCCTTTCCTTTTGCAAATTGAAATGCTGGGATTTAACATTTATTACAGTTCAATTTCATCTAGTTGATTTAAGTCTGTCTTCCAACCTGCTAAAGATTGTTTTGAATCTTGATTCTGTCATCTATGTCATCTACAAATCTAATAAGTGCTCCCTTTTGTTTCATTATATAAACCCTTGACAAAAATGTTAGACTTGGAACACAGTGTGTTTAGGAATGAAATCACTGGCTTTCACAGTGCAACCACTTTCAGGATAGAACACAGGAATCATTCTGTGTCAGTCAGTTGAGAACAGGAAATTGAGTTTTCCAAAGTAAAATGGTTTCGGGCAAAATTTCATTAGAAGATATTTCACTATATCCAAGTAATTATTTACTCTTTCATCATTTATTCAGGATGAATCACAACTAATTTGATTGCACAAAATACAACTGCAGAAAGTAGAAGAGGTCACAGGAAAAGTGTCCAATATTGCCAAGTTGCTTTTAGGTGTTTTGGTTACACAAGCAAATGAACATACATTAAAACAAAATGCGTAGCCGGGCGTGGTGGCTCACACCTGTAATCCCAGCAGTTTGGTAGGCCGAAGCGGGTGGATCGCCTGAGGTCAGGAGTTCAAGACCAGCCTGGCCAACATGATGAAACCCCATCTCTACTAAAAATACAAAAAATTAGCTAAGCGTGGTGGCATGTGCCTGTAATCCCAGCTACTCAGGAGGCTGAGGCAGGAGAATCGCTTGAACCCAGGAGGCAGAGGTTGCAGTGAGCCGAGATTGCATCACTGCACTCTAGCCTGGGCAACAAGAGTGAAACTCTATCTCAAAAACAAAAAACAACAACAAAAAAATGTGTTTCATACCTAATAGATAGCCAAAATATACCTTCATGACAAGCTTTTACTACAATGCTTTTTGTTTTCTTTGTTTTTTTTTTTGAGACAATCTTGCTCTTCTCGCCCAGGCTAGAGTACAATGGCATGATCTCGGCTCACTGCAATCTCCACCTCCTGGGTTCAAGCGATTCTCCCGCCTCAGCCTCCCAAGTAGCTGGGATTACAGGTGCCCGCCACCACTCCCAGCTAAATTTTGTATTTTTAGTATAGATGGGGTTTCGCCATGTTGGTCAGGCTGGACTCAAACTCTTGATCTCATGATCCGTGCACCTCAGCCTCCCAAAGTGCTAGGATTACAGATGTGAGCCACCGCGCCTGGCCCGCAATCTTTACCCACATTTATATCCATAAAACAATCGTTTATATCCATTACCAACACGTTTCAATAAGACTGTCATTTTATATGTTAAACATGTAATAAAATAAGGGAAAGTACCAGAATTGGAACTTCAAACGTTTTGACAGTCCATGACAAAAATGGAGATTATCCAGGTCTTCAGGCAAATCTGCCAAAAGAAAAAAGGAAATGTTCATGTGGACATAAGGACATCCTTAAACTCAGCAACCATCCATGTATCTCCACCACCATTGAAGACAAACAGCTCCAATGAGTTATTATACTACATTTGGTAATACAATAATTTTTTCACACCACTGAAGGATTCTCATAAATATGGAACTTGAGACAGAAAATGAAGCCCCAAGGACCCAGCCAAGTGCCTAAAGAAGTAAATTTCATCCATAAGCCCAGATCTGTTCAAATTTTAAAAATCAAGTTTGTGACAGATTCCTAAGAATCTCATCATGGAAAAACAAAAACAAAAACAAAACCCACCACTACTCAAATAGCCAAACAGATAGAACATTTATCGGAAAAAAAGATAGTCAAAAGTTGTTTTAAGGTCAGCATTCACTGTTTGTCCCAAAGGCCACCAGGCACATAGGTACTGAATGGACTACCCAGATATGACCAATAAGCTCACCTACAAGAAAAATGTACCAGTTTACATAATAGTAAATATGTATTGACACAAGTCACATTTTAGTACAGCACTGATTATTTTTACTTGAAAAGCAAAAAATAAATTTAAAAGAACAACTGTGAATAACTGCATTTTGATCTTATGTAAAACAATCAAGCAACCTTGGATCCTCCTTCTCCCCTCCCCCAGCCACAACAGACACCCCACTCCTCAATTTAATCTCAAAATTAGCTCTCATCTGACACCAACCAACAGAGTTAATTAGGCAGAAGCAGATGTAACTCAGCAGCTCTTTGCTACAAGCAGAATCACAGTGTTTAAAAAAAAATACACAGCTAGGAAAGGAACAAAATCAGAAGTCTCTTATCTGTAGCCAATTCTCAACTAAACACATGTATATTATCCACTTTGTATATTATCCACTGCAAATTTTTTAATCTTAGGCTGATTTGTTTCCAACATCCCACTGGCCCCACTGTAAATTCGTATAAGCAAGAGAATAGATTGAAAACCAATTTCATTTCAGCCTAAGTAGTCTCTAACTGGAAAGACAAATCCACAGGAAAAAAAAAAAAATGTATAATTCATTCAAAAGCCAAATAGAAATGATTTTTTTTTCCTGATTTGGCATTATCCACACCATTTCTCTTTTTCAGAGCACAGGGATTTGTTTCACATAGAGATAGGACATTCTATCACAAGCTAAAACCCTAAAATCATTATTCTCTTTTCATTTTTCTATAAAAACTTGAGAGTTGGACTAAAAGGCTATCAAAAAGGTAGCAAATCATCCTAAATTAATTCTGGGGATCTATGCTACATCGAATTAAATTATTCTATTTTCTAAGGTTGTGAATCATTTTATTTTTAACTACAAAATATCAGTAAATTATATGGTTGCATCATACGGTCTTATAATATAACACTATTTACATCATTCATTACAAATATTCTAAACATATCTAGAGAAATGCTTAGTCCAGCACTGAGCTTTTAGTTTCACTGGTATTACATAAACATCAACACTATTCAGAAATATTCATGTCAGCATAAGAAGAGTCAAAATATCCTGGATCATAAGTATTATGCGAGGCCCCCTCTAAGCTTTTACTAAAGCTGTGTGTGTTGTTTCAAAACCAGTGTCATAACACTCAAGTCATGAGTTTATGGATGAGCCAAAAAACAGTGGTAGAAAAAACAAAGATTAATAATAGAGTTTACACTTTTGTCATCCTGAGTTTTACTTGCTAACAGTTATTTTTAACTCTTTTACTTTCATAAGCTCCTGGCTTTTTCTTTCTTTTTTTTTTTCCCAAAGGGATCACCATCGGAAAACCTGGATTTTTTCAAAGCCGATTTTGTAACTGAGTAAGCGTCCACAAATCTAAGCAGTATCTTCCGAAACAGAACAGAACTGTTTAGGGGAAGGAACTCGGACTTATTTTTCTTCTATCAGCACCCAGCTCAGGTTATTGGCAGAGTTGCTCAAAATAGTGTCCTTGGTTAACAAATATCTGTTGTCTGACAACATCAAACACCATCCATATGGTGATATTTGTTATCTTTCAAATCCTGGATGCATCTATTTCCTCTGAAATCAATGCTTCAGGCCCAAAACATGTGAACTGGGAGGTGAGGTTATAAATACTAATCAAAGAAAAACCAACAAATATTTAGTGAGCTGATGTTCCCTGCATGCAGCCCTGTGGTAAGTACTATGCGGAATACAAAGCAAAGCTAGAGACAGAACATACAAGAAGCAATTAAGAAATAAAGCACTGTTTGGCGGTTCCTCAAAAAGTTAAACACAGAACTACCATATGGTTCTGTAATTCCATTTCTAGGTATAGACTCAAAAGAATTGAAAACAGATACTCAAATAAGTACACATACACTCATGTTCATAACAAAACTATTCACAATAGCCAAAAGGTGTAAACAGCCCAAATGTCCATCAACAGATGAACAGATAAACAAAATGTGGTATATCCATACGCTAGAATACTATACAACTATAAAAAGCAACGAAGTTTCGATACACGCTACTACAATGTGGACAGACCTCAAACACATTATGTTGTGAAAGATGCCAGACACAAAAGGCCACACATCATATAATTTAATTCATATGAAACATCCATAAATCCACAGACAAAACATAGATTGGTGGTGTCTCAGGGACATATCTAGAGAAACTGCTTAATGGGTAAGGGATTTTATTTGGGATCAATAGAAATGTTTTGGAACTTGATAGTGGCAGTGGTGACACAACACTGAATGTACTAAATGCCAGTGATTTGTTCACTTTTTAATGTTTTTTTCATTTTATGTTATGTGAGCTTCACCTCAATGAGTTGTTTAAAAAGAAAAAGAAATAACCAAGTACTGAACTATAATAATAATAATACCAACCATTTCCTGACATGTACTGTGGTCCAGGTACTTTACATAGATTATCAGTAAACCTTAAAACAACATGTAAGGTAGCATTGTTGTTTTTACAAAAGGAAAACAGGCTTGACTTAGCCAAGATCTCAGAGTTATTAAGTCACGAAGGATTTTAATTCAGATGCCAAAGCCCAAACTCTTTCTGTCTCTCCAGCGGTTTTCAAACTAGGCTCTTTGGATCTCTTGTGACAAGGAATTACCTCGGGTATTACCTTCAGGTGCCCCCTTGTGGGTTAAACTTTGGGCCATCACAGCACCTTGAATCCAACAGCGCAGCTTCACTTTAACTGTTTTATGTATATCGGTCTTCCCTGGAAGATTTGCTTTAAAGAAAGTATTCCTCTGATTACAGAAGGAAGAAGTCTGGAAACAACAGTGACTATACTACCTTGCTGAAACCATGTGAAGGATGGATGAACATCTCTTGGATGGATGGGACTGAAAACTGGACCTTGAAAGATAATGCTGAGCCTGGATAAGTGCCCCAACATCCCTCTGCCCAAATTCAAATCCTTCATGGCCCAGTGCAAACAACTTCTCAAAAGCCCAAACATCTTTGTCTAACAGGAAGCTTTTAGCTTTTTTACTGTTTTGACATTCATTTCCCACTCTGTATTATGCTTAGTTGTGTATTAACCTTGTCACCCCTACTAGACTGTAAAATTCTTAAAAACGGGATTCATGCTTGATTCATCTTTGTATATCCTAAGATTTACCCAAGACTACAACTTGATAAGAGGGGTTCAATGCCTATTTGCTAAATAAATGTATCAAGGAATGAATGACGGAAATCAAAGTGAAATAATAGAAGCTAAGAATGAGCTGTCAAACAAAAGGGACACCAAGTCCATGTGCCTGACTAGAACAGATATATGCTGAAAAGGGATAAAGAAATTCAGTTGGGCCAGGCACAATGGCTCACGCCTCTAATCCCAGCACTTTGGGAGGTCAAGGCAGGAGGATTACTTGAGGTAGGAGCTCGAGACAAGCATAGGCAACATAGCAAGACCCCACCTCTATAAAAATAAAAAATTAGCTGGGTGTGGTGATGTACACCTGTAGACCCAGCTACTCAGGAGACTGAGGCAAGAGGATCTCTTGAGCTGCCCAGGAGGTTGAGACTACAGTGCGCTATGATTGTGCCACTGCTCTCCAGCCTAGGCAATAGAGCTAGACTCTGTCTCTAAAAAAGATAAATATAATTAAAAAATAAAAAACATTAATAGGCCAGGTGTGGTGGCTCACATCTGTAATCCCAGCACTTTGGGAGTCTGTGGCAGGCAGATCACAAGGTCAGGAGATTGAGACCATCCTGGCCAACACGGTGAAACCCTGTTTCTACTAAAATACAAAAAATTAGCCGGGCATGGTGGTGCGTGTCTGTGGTCCCAGCTATTCGGGAGGCTGAGGCAGGGGAATCGCTTGAACCTGGGAGGCAGAGGTTGCGGTGAGCAGAGATCGCGCCACTGCACTCCAGCCTGGCAACAGAGCCAGAATCCATCTCAAAAAAAGTAAAACAGAAAGTTGGCTGTGAACAAAGTCAAGCTGTGGTGTGTGAATGTGACAGATGAATAGGAAGCCACTGCAGGAGCAGGTGACACCATAATGCACAGTGAAGGGCATGCACATACACACACAAACCTGTTGAATGTTTGAATCACTCTGGCAATAGTATCCATCTACTCTGGAGGGAAGGGTGTTTGAAAGAAAAAACAAAAGCAACCAGTATTTCACCTCTCCAAACATCAATCTTGTTCAACTTATATTTATGAGCCTAACTCAGCAGCAAGCCCAGAACAGGCACTCAATAAAACGTTAGTTGAACTGAATATTTAATTCCCCATCTTTTTAGAGTAACACTAAGTTCTTTCCCACTACTCATTAACAAAGAGAGTTTTCAATTCATAAGCTAATAATGTTTTCCAAGGATTTCTAAGAGGCTAAATCACCATAAAAATTATCATTTCAACTAATACATATTATATTAATTGGAAGTTTAATTTTTCATGTCATGCTCTCCTAGTTGACAATATCCTTGTTATGTCATTAAACTATAATTGTGTAAATGTGCTTCAACAAACAATAACTGAACCATCAATAAACTATTATGGCTTCCATAATCTCTAGCAAAGATTAGTTTCAACATCATCATCATAAATTAGTAGAGACAGTTCCCAAATCTCCTGGTGAAACCCATGAATTAGGTTTGCATAGTCATCCCTGCATTTAAGTGCTCAATAGTTTCAGTCTCTAAAATTTAATCACACTGTTAGGAACCTCACAGGAAATTTGATCCCTTGTAAAACAGAGGAATTTAGAGACAAGATGAAAAGTCATTTGAAGTCATCAGGCCTTTGGAGCCAGGGTACACTGATCAGTAATGATGTATTGTAACTAAGCACTTTCACTTAAGAAATAATCAACTAAATTTAGAGTGTCTTTTTTTGGCATTTAAAAATTCCTATTCCATCCTAGATTTCTCCCTAATTACATATTAGCTTTAGTTGGTTTTTGATGACAAAGACTGAGAATAATGTATTAAGAAAAAAACGGGAATTTTTTTTTTTTTTTTTTTTTTTGAGGTGGAGTCTCGCCCAGTTGCCCAGGCTGGAGTGCAATGGTGCGATCTCGGCTCACTGCAACCTCCGCCTCCCAGATTCAAACGATTCTCCCGCCTCAGCCTCCTGAGTAGCTAGGATTACAGGCACACACCACCATGCCATTGTTTCATTATTATTATTATTATTATTATTATTATTATTATTATTATTATTTTTAGTAGAGACGGAGTTTTACCATGTTGGCCAGGCTGGTCTCAAACTCCTGACCTTGTGATCCACCCGCCTCGGCCTCCCAAAGTGCTGGGATTACAGGCGTGAGCCATCGCGCTGGGCCAAAAAATGTGATTTTTAAAAAACTTTTTAAAATAGAGACACAAGGCCAGGCTCGGTGGCTCATGCCTATAATCCTAGCACTTTGGCAGGCCGAGGCAGGTAGATCACCTGAGATAGGAGTTTGAGACCAGCCTGGCCAACATGGTGAAACCCCATCTCTACTAAATACAAAAAATTAGCCAGGCGTGGCAGCGCATGCCTGTAATCCCAGCTCTTTGGGAGGCTGAGGCAGGAGAACTGCTTGAACCCAGGAGGCGGAGGTTGCAGTGAGCCAAGATTACGCCATTGCACTCCAGCCTGGCCAACAAGAGCAAAACTCCATCTCAACAAAATAAATAAGATAAAATAAAGATACCAAAAAATCTAAATAAATAAATAAAAATAGAGGCGGGGGTCTCACTATGTTACCCAGGCATGTCTTGAACTCCAAGGCTCAAGGGATCCTTTCACTGTAGCCTCCCAAAGTACTGGGATTACAGGCATGAGCCACTGCACCTGGCTGAGAAAAATTTTATATCTTAACTTTTTTATGATTCTTTTGAAAGATAGATTATTGCAGGATTCTTTGTTAACTGTATTACAGATGTCTTCAGACCAGATATCCAGATACCCTGAAAAATTCAGGTTCCCTTTTGAGAGTTTCATAAATATTATGGCTCTACTCTAAAAAATAAGCACATGTACCCATATGCACTGGCATACGTTTTCAAGGGTTAACAGACCTTCTGTCATCCATCCATGGACCACTTAAGGTCCAGTGGCTATATACAGAGAGGTATTTTATCCAGTTTCACAATAGTTAGCTTCGTGCTTTATTTAAGGCATGTTACATCAAGAGTAAGAAAGTTATTCTTGGCCGGGCGCGGTGGCTCAAGCCTATAATCTCAGCACTTTGGGAGGCTGAGACGGGCGGATCACGAGGTCAGGAGATCGAGACCATCCTAGCTAACACGGTGAAAGCCCGTCTCTACTAAAAAAATACAAAAAACTAGCCGGGCGTGATGGTCGGCGCCTATAGTCCCAGCTACTCCGGAGGCTGAGGCAGGAGAATGGCGTAAACCCAGGAGGCGGAGCTTGCAGTGAGCTGAGATCCCGCCACTGCACTCCAGCCTGGGCAACAGAGCCAGACTCAGTCTCAAAAAAAAAAAAAAAAAGGAAGTTATTCTTTTTGGTTTTGGATGTTATCAAAAAACAGGTTTCTGACATTTTAATCAACAAGTAGGTGTGCTGTGATGGGAAGTATCAGAGTCAGGGATCCAGTCCCCATTCTGCTAGCTACCTAGGCTAGAGGATATTGAACATGTTACTAAGTCAATCTAAATCTCCGTTTTCTCTTCTGTAAAAATGAGAATACTTCTCTGTTTTACAGAACCGTTAAGAGGAATCACTGAGATAACAAATATGAAAGCAGCAAGGATGATGGCAGACACATAGCAGGAACACAATAAATGCTAGCTCATAAAAGGAAAAAGGGCAATACAGTCAGCTGGAGACCTGTAAAATCTCATCTGGCTGAACTTCTGTCTATATGACCATTTTCTCCTAAGAGACAGGAGAAGTCAGCACCTGGCTCTTAGTTATAGCTGCAGAGAAGTAAAAATTCAAGACAGAGAATAGAAGAAAGTGAAGGAAAGCAAAAACAGATTGTAATGGTCAAGAAGAGTGTATTTTACTCATAGTTATACATTATTTAAGGGCAACAAAGCTTTTAAAAGATAGTACTGCATAGGAGAATATCTTCTTGACCTCAGGGTAGGAAAAGTCTTAAAACAAGACACAAAAGGCACTAACCATAAAGACCAATAAATTTGACTCCATTAAAATTAAGAACTTCTGTTCATTAAAAGACACCATAAAGAGAGTGAAAAGGCAAGCCACAGCATTTGCAACATACACACATGACAAAGGACTTGTATTCACAGTAAATAAAGAACTTCTAAATAGCAATAAAAGATACAAGGCCCAACTTTTAAAAACAGGGTGGAAAAGACTTGAACAGAACTTTAGAGGCTATCTAAATGGCTAAAAAAGTATATGAAGAGCTGGCCGGATGCAGGGGGCTCACTCCTGTAATCCCAGCACTTTGGGAGGCTGAGGCAGGCAACTGAGATCAGGAGTTCGAAAACAGCCTGCCCAACATGGCAAAACCTCACCTCTACTAAAAGTACAAAAAATTAGCCAGTTGTGGTAGCGGGCACCTGTAATCCCAGCAACTTGGGAGGCTGAGGCAGGAGAATCACTTGAACCTGGGAGGCAGAGGTTGCAGTGAGCCAAGATCACGCCAGATCACGCCCACTGCACTCCAGTCTGGGTGACAAAAGCAAACCTCCATCTCAAAAAAAAAAAAAAAAAAAAAAAAAAATATATATATATATATATATATATATATATGAAGAGCTGTGCAATCTGATTACTAATCAGGTAAGTGCAAAATTTACCATACTGGCTAAAATTTTAAAAGCTAAAAAGGCTGAGATTGGAGAGGGCGAGAAGCAAGGGAATTCATATATTGCTGGAAGGAGTGTAACCTGGTATAATACTTTGAAAAGTTTGGTACTTAGTAAAGATGAAGACAGGTATACCTATCTATGACTAGGGTGACCATACAATTCATCATCTAAACCTAGATACTTTTGAAAACTAAAAGTATAACTAAAAGTTACACTGGGAAAATAAGCAAAAGCCAGGACAAATGGTCACCCTAGCTATAAACCAGCAATTTCATTCCTAGGTGTATACCTTAGAAACCTGTGCACATGGGCACCAATGACAGGTATAGGAATGCTCATAGCAGCTTTGTTCACAATTACCCCAAACTTGAAACAACTCAAATATTCGGCAATAATGGAATGGATGATCGGAAAATTGGTGTATTCTCTTTCTGGGGTCTGCGGGAAGACAGGTATCAGAAGATGTGGGAGTCCTATTAAAAAAGGTGCTTAAAGGTGCTTTGGAAATGCAAATTAAGGCATTACAGGGAAGAAATATTCCATCACCCCACTTCTCCCATCCATGCATCATTTACCATTCTGCAACAAAGACTGATCACCACAGTTCACACATCCCTACTTACATAAAATATTTATTTCTTTTTTTCTTTTTTTTGAGACAGAGTCTCGCTCTGTCACCAGGCTGGAGTGCAGTGGTGCAATCTCGGCTCACAGCAACCTCCGCCTCCCGGGTTCAAGTGATTCTCCTGCCTCAACCTCCCAAGTAGCCGAGACTACAGGTACCCACCATCACGTCCAGCTAATTTTTTGTACTTTTAGTAGAGACGGGGTTTCACCATGTTGGTCAGGATGGTCTTGATCTCTTGACCTCCTGATCTACCCACCTCGGTCTCCCAAAGTGTTAGGATTACAGGCGTGAGCCACCGCACTCAGCCACATGAAACCATTTCTTTAATCCCAGCACTTTGGGAGGCCAAGGTGGGTGGATCACCTGAGGTCAGGAGTTTGAGACCAGCCTGGCCAACATGGCGAAACCCCACCTCTACTAAAAATACAACAATTAGCTGGGCATATGTCTGTAATCCCAGCTACCTGGGAGGCTGAGGCAGGAGAATCACCTGAATCCGGGAGGTGGAGGTTGCAGTGAGCCAAGATCATGCCACTGCACTCCAGCCAGGCAACAGAGCAAGACTGTCTCAAAAAAAAAAAAACAAAAAAACACTATTTCCTTTTCTCTCAATACAAACGTAGGCACGTGCAGGCATGTGGAAAACTGAGGGTACACTGTAGAGAACTAGGAGACTGAAAGCCAGATCACTTAGTTATGTCTTTTATTAAGTGGTATGTGAAAGTCCATGAGAGCTTCTAAAGCACATTAAAATTATTAAACTTCCTCATCTACTTTCTAATATTCACCCTATTTACCTTTCATTCATGCGATGCCTCACATCTGACAGTTTCCACCCAATCTTCAAAAGCAGTCTGTGAAATAAACACATGCTATAATAGCAATGACATAATATCCACTCTACTCAGAAGCCTAAGTGTGGCTGGTAAGCAAAACTTCCTCTGCCGACCATGTCATGACTATCAGCCATTCCCTAAATTCCTCCTTTAATGTTAAAATCTTCCTCTGTCTCTATATTTTCTTTTCTTTTTTTTGTAAACCGTCACTTCACCTCCCCAACCTTTAACTCTCAGTAGAAGTTCTCGGGAAAGAAGAAACATGTGCATTATCCTTTCCTTCTTAAAAACATAAAATATTGTCCAAATTCTTTTTGATAAATGTGTAAACAACTTATGAATAAGAAAAAAAACAGAGTGTTTTATTTCAAGGCTATGCCAAAAAATCTAGGGTATACAAGTAAGACAGGAAGAATGCACTTAAAAAAAAAAAACAAAAAACCTTCTTGGGGCCCCATAGAACTAAGACTGTTCGAACACAACTAATTCCCATTTTCTACTTCCACCTTCCGTCCATATAGGAGGGGTCTTCATATGCTGTATCCTGAATTTCCTTGGTATCTCCAACCCCAAACATACTTGGTTCATTGGTTTTCATTTCCTATTTCCCACATCTGTAATTCTTTATCACTACCCCTTCAGAACTGCTGTCTAATACTCTCTTTAACACATCCCAACACCTTCTACCAATTACAGGGCTTAAACTCCTTCATGGGGCATAGGACACCATTTGTAATCTAACCCATCCTGCGCCTTTGCCTGGTCATCTCCTACCACTCCCTGCACTCTGCCCATAGCAAAGTACTAGCAAATTCAAACCTATGCAAAAAGTCCTATCCCAGGGTATGGTGTATGTCTCTTCCTGGGATACTCTGCTGCCCCACACTCCCTGAAGACTCCAGATCAAGTTTAATATAATAAATCCAGCCTATCACAGGTCGTCCTGGCTCACGCCTGTAATCTCATCACTCAGGCAGGCAGAGGTGGGCAGATCACTTGAGGCCAGGATTTCGAGACCAGCCTGGGCAACATAGTGAGACCCTTTTCTCATTTTTATTAAAAAATAATAAATACAGCCTATCAAGCAACTTGTCTCCCAAACTAACACCTTTCTTTGCCCCATCCTCACCCCTGGCACAGTCCACCAAATCACATTCACCCAAAATTACTGTACAGCTCCGCCCACTTTCTTCACACCTGCCACTTTGTCCCACCCCTACCAATCCCTTGTCCCCCGGAGATTTTCTGCTACAGATTTATTCTGCAAGTTCTAAGCAGCCTCTCTCCCTTCCCTTCACATTTAAGTTTGCTCTGCTGCCTTAGCATCATCTTTCAGAAACTCTCCCAAGCATAACCATCCCATCCTTCCACGTTTTTAAAAACACTTCATACTCCAAAGCTAGCAAATCTCCTTCTTATTCCAACATGTCGATCCACCCAAATACCTTTCCCATCACTGCAATCGCACCTGCTCCTCACATGCGCCTCAATGCCTCCCCAAACCCAACACTCTCCACTGCTTCAACTCTGCTCCAATCCACCACACCCAAACCCACCTACTCTGCGCCCAGACAACTGCAATCTCGCCTTCGGCATCATCTCACCTGCCCTCACACACCCCTCGGTCCGCCTTCCACTTCTCTCAAATTGCATCCCTCCCTAACTCTCCCTCTGCACCTGTTCTACACCTCCAGCTTCCCCTCCCACCCAACCCTCACTAGTCTTCCTCACACCCTCGCTGGCCCCCACCGCTCCTATCAGTTCACTCCCACTCAGAAATTCCCTCGCAGCCCCCGCCTTCCGACTCCCCGAACCCCGCCCCCACCCGATTCCGCCCCGCCCCCTCCGCCCTCGAGCCCCGCCCCTTGCCCTAGAGGCCCTGCCGAGGGGCGGGGCCTGTCCCTCCTCCCCTTTCCCCCGCCCCCTACCGTCACGCTCAGGGGCAGCCTGACCCCGAGCGGCCCCGCGGTGACCCTCGCGCAGAGGCCTGTGGGAGGGGCGTCGCAAGCCCCTGAATCCCCCCGTCTGTTCCCCCCTCCCGCCCAGTCTCCTCCCCCTGGGAACGCGCGGGGTGGGTGACAGACCTGGCTGCGCGCCACCGCCACCGCGCCTGCCGGGGGCGCTGCCGCTGCCTGAGAAAGAAGCCGCGGCTGCCGCCTGGAGGAGGTGCCGTCCCCTCCGCCACCGCTGCCGCCGCCGCCAGGGGTAGGAGCTAAGCCGCCGCCATTTTGTGTCCCCCTGTTGTTGTCGTTGACATGAATCCGACATGACACTGATTACAGCCCAATGGAGTCTCATTAAACCCGAGCTGCGGCCCCGCCCCGCCGCTGCTCCATTGGAGGAGACCAAAGACACTTAAGGCCACCCGTTGGCCTACGGGTCTGTCCGTCACCCACTCACTAACCACTCTGCAGCCCATTGGGGCAGGTTCCTGCCGGTCATCTCGCTTCCACATAGACACACCCCTCGACCCATCATCCCCCCTCCGGCACCACCCCGGGGGAGGGTCCACTGCCAGTACCAATCAACAGACCGCTGGGTCCGCCTCTTCCGGGCACCTATTGGTCCAGCCTTTTTTCTCTCTCCTAGATACCGCGCCACCTCTACTTCCACCTACCCGCCCCCTCCACCTCTAGGAAAAGATTGGGTCTACTCGCAGCAGGGGAGCTTGGCCTTATTGGCTGCAGACGACGCCAATCAGGAGGCCTTTTCCCTCTCCCCTCCCCCACTCAACCCCAAACCCCCTAGCCCGCAGCTAAAGTTTGTGTGAGAGCTGATCGCTGGCGGCGGCCGCAGGATTTAGGGGTGGGCGCGGGCGGGCGCGCGCGGGCGGGCACGCGAAGTTAAAATTCGAGGTTCTCAGTCGCCAGCTTCTTCGCTGGAGTGCGCGGACGGGCGCGCCGCCCGGAGCGTTCCATCCCGCCCCCTCCTCCACCCTCTCTCCCGTCCCGTCCCGGGCGACTACTCGCCCGCCCCCTGGCTCGCATCCTTCCCCCCCAACACACCCCTACCCTGCCAGCCCCAGGCCGGGTGCAGGCAGAACGATGTCGCTGCAGCCTCCTCGCCATCCCATGCCGCGGGGGAGCAAGCCCCTACCCACCGGGCGTGCACCCCCCGGCTCCACACTCGCCCGTGTCTGCAAGCACGTGCACCGTTCGCCGCTGCCTCCGGCCACCCCGGTCCCCGGCTAACCTCGCCTGCAGCCCGGCCAATCGCTCGCTGCCCTTTGTTGCTGCAGCCTGGGTCTCCCTGCTGCCTTCCTCAGCCTCCGCCTCGTCCTTTGCCAGCCGCCCGGGTCCGCAGCGCCGCGCTCCCCCCGCCCGGGACCCACCGCCGCCGCCTCCTTCTCCTCCTCCGCCTCCTCCTCCTCGGCTCCGGGCTGCAGCGCACAGAGCCCGAGGCAGCGCCGCCCAGCCCCGCTCCCCCCGCGCCGCCCGCCAGCCCGCCCGGCCTGGCCGGGGGCGCAGCCCGGACCCCGCCCGCCCCAGTCTCCGCCCCGGGGGTACCTGCCTCCGCCCCGGGGGGCTCCTCTCGCCGCCCTCGGGGGAGGGCGGGGACGCTGGTGTCCGCGGGAGGATGGGGACGCCTGGGCCGTTTGGGGCGGGGAGTGTGCCCGCCGGGGCTGGGACTGAGGTGCGGTCCTCGCCAACGCGCCCCCCTCCCGTCGCTATGGGCCCCAAACTTCGTCCTTTGCCCAGGCTTTGCGCCCTCGGGCGATCGCGGCAGTTTTGGGGTGGGGGACGCCTGAAGAGCTGTGTCTACCCTGATCGGGAGGAAGAGGGAGCAGTGACATTCAGCGACTGCGGACAGGGCACGGCGGCGGCATCCTTGGGTGGGAGTGGGGATGTCAGATGCGGGCTGGAGGGGGAAGCTGCCCCCCAGGATGCCCTCTCCCTGCCTGCGAGTAGCTGGCGAGCTCAGCCGCGTTCTGGGTGCTTTTTTGGGCGGTGCAGACGGATGGCAGAGGGGCTGAGGCGGGAGGGGGGCGGGGAAGACCGCTGGGGGGCCCTTCCCCCCTCTCTTTTAGTCAGCGCTCTAAGGAAGGCTGATGGCGAAGTTCGGTTTTCCAGGCTTCCCCTGGGCCCCCCGAGTTCCTGAGGCCCACTTGAGGGAGACTGGGGGCTTCTCTGGCCGCCCAGGCGAGGCCACTCTGACGCTGCCCACATGCCTCCCAGAGCTCTCTGGACTCTGAAGAGAGCGCCCCTGGTTCTTTCCGGAGGTGAATGGGATGCTGGCAAGGGAGACTTAAGAAAATAGGAAAGGTGGGCTGAGCAATGGCTCCTAGAGAGTTTGAGCACGAAGTTTCCCTCCCAGGCGCCATTTCTTTGAGAGGGGGAGGAGAACTATGGCTTTGCAAAAGAACCAAGTTTCAGGCATGGTGGCCTGGGTGGAAAACCACCTGTTGCCTGAAGTCTGTCCCTGGAGTCAGGGCCATCTTGGGCCCGGGCATGGCGATGCAGGGTGCCAGGGAGGGGAGGCCCCAGGTTTCCTGCCCTGGTTGACTCCTGCAGCCTCATGCCACTGACACTGCAGTGGCATCTTCACCTCCCCATTAGAAACCACTGTACAACTAGGTGGGTACTTTGTTAGGACAACTTATCTTCGTCCTTATCTCAGACAAAACAAGCAGCACACGCAGCCCTGTCTTCAAATGGAGACCACAACACACACTTCATTTTTAAAAAATGGTCTGCTGCTTTGGGGTGTGAGCTCCCTCTCCTGTGCTTCTTGGCAGCAAGGTGAGAAAGGAACTTAGACAAAGGGCACAGAGTTGGATGAAAGAATAGAGAAAGGGCGAGGGGGAGCAGAAGAGTTGTAATACTACACTACAAACTGTCACTGGTTCCATTATAAACCGTTTTTATAGGTGTTTTATTACTTGGTTGTTAGTTTTTAAAACACAAACCTCTTTAGATTAAATCTTGGCATTCACAGGCTCAGCCCAGGGAAACAAAACACAGAAAACTCCGGCCATCCGCTTGGCTACTTTTGAGTTACATTACTGATAAAACAAACAGCAGGTTGGGTTTCCTCAGACTCTGTCCCAGCCTCTTTTATTTAGTATCTTCAGTAGCTTGCTCAAGGTGAATTTTTAAAGACCATTAGTTAGTTCGTAATTCAGTCTAGTTCATTTAGGTGTTTCGAAGAGAAGGACACTTAGAAGATGTGCTTTTTTATAATGCAGGTGCTGGGATTTTTATTCTCCAAGAAGTTACTAAATAAACTTAAGAATCCTGGCCCACTCTTTATTTAGGCTTTCTGTTCTTTTTTCTTTTTTTTCCTTATGATCTGCCCAGATGCACTTTATTTTGTAAATTACATTTGTGACCCTCAGACTGCATTTTATCTCAAGCAATAAAAATAAACCATGCCTTAATTAAAAACAAGTTTGAAAACCCCAAATCTGTACACTCAAACTAAAGTACGTTAAAAGAAGCAGCTAAAGACAATAAAAGCCAAAAAGTCCATGTTTAAGATGCCTTCAGCCAACGAATTGTGGGTGATTTGTGAGCACCCAACACTCATTATCACTAATGTATTATTCTACAAGGATCTCCAGTGCATCAAGAAGTGAAGAGACACCTCAGAGAGAAATGGGTTATGTTTGCCTAAACTTGTGCTCTTGTAACCCCAGGAGCTCAGGAATACAGAAGAGAGAAATGTCTTCATTCAACATCTTGATATGTTTCTTGAGATTCAGTTCCTAGCAAGTATAGTTCTGTAACGGGGGTGTGGCAAGGAATTCGTAGCTTTCCCATTGATACTCCCCTCTAGGGTTACTTGTCCTTTGAGAAATCTGGCTCTTCAGATAAGTGGGACTGGAAAGGATAGTAAGAGACACAGCCAGAGATATTTAATGCTTACTCCTAAACCGCTCTCTTATCTGTGGTATCTCAGGTCCTCTGCTGAGCTAAATAGCTCAATTAAGAAATTAACCTAGAAATAGCCTGAATTGAAAACCAAGCATGGTGCAAATTTTGCAAGCCTACTGGGCTGGAAGATTATGAATGGAGACGCTTATCTGACCTGTCCCCCACCACCCCAAAACAGCTGCCAACCACCACCACAGACCAGAACCACTGACTAGTTATGCTGCTCCATGCAATCTACAGATCACTGGAATCAGAATGATCTGGGAATGAGTGTTTGAAAGACAGGTTCCTTGGCCCAACCCCAGAGATTCTGATTCAGTAAGTCTGAAGCGAGTCTCCCGAAAATATATTTTTAGCTCATGACTAGTCTTGAAGCTTACAGTCACTAAATTTGAGAACCACTGGCCTAGGCTAAATCTTCTTCCTGCCCAGCCGAGGAAGTTACTTCTTCTGTGGGTGTCTTAGCCAGAAGGTTATAGTCCCTAGTACTGGGCTGATTTTGTGATTTGACCTATTTGTCCTTGAGTTCTGAACAAGAATAATAAAGTGCAGAGGAGCTGCAGGAGCCTCTGGGAACCCAGATGGTTTGATCTTTTGGGTTTGTTTACTTGCTCTGAGGCAAGTCAGACAAACAGCCTGATAAGAGGTACCACATCCACAGAGGCACTACCAAGTCCTTCTAAAGGAAATTGGGTAAGGAGGCACAGGCAGGGACCCTAAACGTATTTGTCCAGGGTCCAGCCCATGTTGAATTCTATTTACATTCAATTAGTCACTTAAAAAACATTGATCTACACCTCCTTCCAACTGCTACATGGAATCCTCTCCCTTCATTGACTAGAAACTGACCCCACAAGGTCACAATGTCTGATTACTTCAGTCAAGGGCAGAGGGGATGGGGGATGATCAGTCAAAGCATTAAACTGGTTAGGAAATTCTAGCTACAGCTGCCTTTATGAACAGCTGGGGTTATTTCCAATACCAGTATTCTGCACCCACATCTAATTTGTGCATTCCTGCTTTAAAACCTTTAATGTCTTTTAAATGCATTCTGGACCAAGCCTAAACCCCTTAGTCTTCTAAAGGTATGCGTATCTGCACCTCACCAGTATCTCATCTCCAGCTTCTCCAAGCCTGCCACTTGTCTGTGGCCAGCACACCCTGTCCTCACTGCCATGCCCTCACTCCCTGCCTTATCTGATAAAGACCTTGACTAAGCACTCCTCCAAATTCCTGCTTGGCTGCTGCCTCCTCTGTGAAGTTTTCCTGGTTTTCGCAGGTAGCCCACAGGACTGAGAGCATGGCTTCACTCCAGCACTGGCGCTTGTTAAGTGCCTAGCTAGTATTTATGGAATTATAGAATAAATAAAAGCATTTACCCTACTCTGTTGTCATATTTTGCCTGTTTTCCTAATTAGCTTTTCTACTGCATGGACCAGCTTGTTCATCTATGTAACTGCCCTAGTGCCATAAAAGCTACTTAATGAAGACACACCATTCATACCTGTGGTTTGCTTCCCTGGCCACATGTAACAATCACCTGAGGAGCTCTTGAACCAGCTTAGAGCCTAAGTCCCACGTAAGGCCAATTAAACTAGACTATTTGGGGAGAGGGGCCCTTCATCAGCATTTTTCCAAAGCACCCTGTGCAGTCGGGGTGAACAACCATTTATTTATTTCTTATTTATTTATTT